AAGGTAAAACAAGCTGCTCTAAATATCACAAGCTTACACAGGAGCTTTGGGGGGGTAGTCGAGTTAGTCTGTTACAGAAAAAAAAACAGCAAACAAATGGTCTGGTAGCACTTTACAGACTAACAAACATGTCGATGATATCATGAGCTTCCGTTGGCACAGCCCACTTCTTCAGATGGCCAGACTAAAAAAGTGGGCTGTACCCACAAAAGCTCATGATACCATCTACATGTTTTGTTAGTCTGTAAGGTGCTACCAGGCCATTCACAAGCTTGCAGATGGTCTCCAAGTCACTCTATGGTATGGCTATGTACTTTCTACATCAACTTTGTGGGTGTAGCAGTACTCATAGGGAGCTGGATACTCTTGCTCACTGACTGCTGAAAAATTGCAGTTTCTGCTTCCTTTTTGCTACTTTCAAAGAGAACTAAAGCTTTGTTTACACTGGCAAGTTTTGTTGCCAAAAACCTTTTCTGACAACAAAGCCCAGAGAGTGTTCACATTGCAACGCAACAAAGTTGCAACAAGCAGCCAGTTTGGGCAATAAAAAACTTCCAGCTTCACAATGGACTTTCTTCTCTCCCCTTCCCTGTTGACACTATGCATTGTGCACTACAGTAGGTTCTTTATCAAGTTTATTGACCTCCGGCATGTTTCCCACACTGCCCAATTAACCACTCTGGGCAGTGCTTTGAACTTTGCTCCTCTGCAGCCATGTAAACAGGTAAACAGATTCACCCCTGCCACCTGCAAACCCCAGGAACTTTAAAATCCATTTCCTGGTGTCTGGCTCATTGTGTAGTGGTCCTCGCGGCATCTTCTCAGGCAAAGAGGTGGCTATCATTCAATACGCTTTCCTACTTGGAGCACCTCAGAGCTTTTGGATCTTATCAATGTGTGGGGTGAAGAATCAGTGCAATCACAGCTACGAGTGACCCATACGAACTGGGACATGTACGGTCACGTTACTCAAACTCTTTGTGCAAAGATACCCTACAATGCAGAGCCAAAATAAAGGAACTCCAGCAGCCATACCAGAAGGCAAAGAGCTGGTCTGGTCCTGCACCCAAAATATGCCGTTTTTATAAAGAACTGGATGCAATCCTGGGTGGGGACTCCACGTCTACACCCAAGGAAAGTGTGGATACTTCTCACAGCCCAGAATCAGAAACAGGACTTAGTCCAGAGGCAGATGTTAGTGATGAAGAGGTGGAAGTAGACAAGGAGATAGGGCTCAATCCATTGACAACCTATGCGCAAGGCAGTGAGTAACTGTTCTTAAGTCCCAAGGTTTAGGACAGTGGTCCCCAACCTTTAGAGGCTCCTGGGCGCCCAGGAGGTGGGGCCACTCACGCGCCAGGCGCCCAAGGGCAGGGCCACGCATCCGGGGGCACGCCAGGGGTGGGGATGCCCTTGCACCCGGCGCCAGCACGTGCCCCGGGGCCGCCCGAGCGCCTTGTGCCATGGACCCAGCGCCGCCACCCGGG